CCCCTATGTAAGGTCCACACACCACCTATAAAAATAGTACTTTACCCCTGCTTACACCTATATGCCGTGAGCTGATTATCGAGTCTTCATTGTAACAGTCGCGGGTACATCGTGTATGCGTGGGGATTGTTGCAGTAGAAAATTCCACTGTAGCGACCGGTACATTAATGGGAAACCCTAAATGTTTGAGCACCCTCTATGACACGTCAAGCTACCCCACAGCACCCCCAAAATAAATCTCTGGCGCCGCCACTGAGCCTGACTTGTGTTGGGGGGGCCCGACTTTTTTTTTTCTCCAAAGGGGGGGCCTGACAGAAAAGGTTATGGAACCACTGATCTAGAGAATTCGAACAGCTCTTATCATGGCTGCCACTGTGGTATTTCCGGGTCATTTCACTTCGTTAGGAAGGTTCCTGACTGACAATTCGACCGCAACCAATAGTGGGAAGCAATATTACAGCGCCCGGGGAGCAATGGGGAGTGTGGGGGGCAGGGGGGTGTCCGGCAGGGCCCTGGAGGTGAACTGGGACCTCTCCAATTAGCAGTCCAAACTCCATATTTAGGTCTGTTCGTGGACTTGAACCGACGATCCTACGGTTCCCAGTCAAGCCCCTACTGACTGAGCCAGTGCCGGACAAAAAAACCCACAACCACTCACACCTCACCTCAAAACATATCTCTTCCAGATGGTCTTAATGCTTGGCCTGTGCTATTGCTGCTTGCATCTCTCTCAACTCGTTCATAAAATCAACTTCTCAATTGACACTGTGCTTCCTGGGTACTGATCATTACAACTATCACCACGTTGTTTTTCCCACACCCAAGTCACAGCTACTGAGTTACAATGTGAAATACAATCTGGTTCACAGAAAAAATTACCTATATTAGTTGCACTGAACTAAATTTGACACTGCACGTAATTTGATCTTCCATTTTATTGTTTAATTAAGCAAAAATAGATAATTAGTGCTAGTTAAAATTATCAATAAGTGTGCAATTTACAAAAAAAACTTCTTAGAAGATTGCTAATCCGAATAGCTTCACACATTTACCAAATTCACTTCACTCAGCAAGACAGGCCATGCAGTAGATTTGTCCAAGGGTTGGTGAGATCATTGAAAACGAGATACACAGATATACACAGTGATGATGCCTCTCTATGCATCTCACAGTTCATTTAGCTTCCATACTTTCTCTTCTGCCTTAGGATAAATTGACAATAATTATATATTCTTTTTGACAAAAGATGTCCTTGCTCACCTGCTTTGTGACCATACAAATGCAGATTTTGCAACTTATTCATGTATCAGTCTTTTTTTACCCCCTACGTTAAAATATCTGTAGGCTGTTGAAGATTCAGCAAACTGCGAGTTCCTAACAGCAGTGTGTTACTGACCGTCAGAAGAACATGCACACTCTACTATATACATACTATAACACTCTGTATTTAAAAAAGAAAAATCAATTTTGGATTTGTTTTTCTTTTGCAATACTATCAAACATTTTTCTTTAAAGAAAATTCACAATATTTTACTGCTATGTGCTTTACAATTATAAATTGCTTTGATTGTTTGGAAATGAACAACTTGTCTGCTTCAGTAGCATCAATCAGAGTTTATAAGAGCAATATGAAAATGAAAACCACAACATTGTCCGTTAATTTCTTAAAAACAGGCTCCAGTTGCTGGAAGCATTTATTAGTGTCATCTTGCAAGTCAATAGGCACTGAGAACAAAACTAACATATACAGTACATCACTTTGTTAATGCTATTCAATTAAAATAAACAATCGATTTGGAAAAAACAGTGCTGCTTAGTAAAAAATAGAAAAATATACTAATACTAGAAAAGAATGCCCTCTACATTATGTAACATTGGATCAAGAGCTTCAATATCAGTCATTAATTTCACTGCGTGCATCACTATTACACTCTATGACTGTCTGTAAAACAGTTGAGTGGTGTGACAGCCGTTCACTTGCATGAACATTAATGAAAGATAAGGCATTTGATCCAAGAGAGAAAATAGAGGTGTAAAGTACATTGCTATGTATTTGAAAACTTTCAAGTATCAAGTTGCAGTGCCTGAGGTCATTACTGTAAGAATAACTTATATAATAATACAATTAATCGTTCAATAAATTAATATAACCACATACATTAGTCTCAAAAAGGCATGGAAAATCTCACATTATAAATAGAATAGAATAAATACAAGAATAAATAAATAAATAAATACATTAAAAAACATTAATCTCATAAATGGTTTAGGCCCAAAATACATTTTTAATCTCCTGCTAAATTATGAACCATCCAAAACTCAGGTTTTAATACAGGCTAAAGACTTTACTTTTTGCCGCTGCTTTTAATTGATATATTCATATCTTAAACTCCACTGTAACTGTTATTCATGTATTTTTTCTTTTAATGTTTATTTTGTTATCTTTGCTTTTTAATTACCGTTTTAAAAAGTCACTTTCTTAATGTCTTTCATTTTTGTAAGCACTTTGAATTGCCTTGTGTTGAAAGGTGCTATATAAATAAACTTGCCTTGCCTAAATTAAAACATTAGAGCTCAGTAGTCCTTTTTTTTAAGATGACCGTCGGGTTGATATCACTTCCGCGTGAGTGGGAGGAGCTTGAGTTAATTATCGTGGACCCCGTTTCTTTGACGTCGGGCACGTGAAAGGATGCGACGGGACAGGGGCCCCGGACATTATCGCAGACCAGCTTCTGCAACGAGGCGGTGTTGATGATGTCGAAGCCCACGCTGCCTCCGAATGTGCTCGGCTTCCAGTACTCCGGGGAGCAGATGGGGTTTCCCATTAAGCCCTTTAGTGAGTAAGGGGCCCCCATCTCCACCATGGTCTCCCCAAAGATGGCGTTCTCCCTGGGTTTCTCCACCAGCAGACCCGGGTAGAGCTCCACAGCGTCGACGTGGCCGTAGAACTCCTCGAGCAATGCTGCCATCTCTTTCTCTCCTGAGTAACATAAAGCAGGACATAGTTTTAGTCAACGGCTCAATCTGGCTAGTCTCACTTCAACAGCAGCTGCAAAGCTGTCTGCTAGTCTAAATATGAGTTCATTGTTTTGACTGATTAAAATCCAACAAATTGTAGATTAAAGTATTTATCTTCTTGACTTCATGTCCGTCTTCATCTTGTCTGTCTTACAAGCATGTACACGCTGATATCTTTCTCTCTTCATACATCAAACATTTTCTCCTCTCAACGAGGAGACCTCTCTCGTCTGTTTATGTCTTGCTCTCTGTGATGACAATCTGCTTATAGTATCTCAAGATGAAATGAACATCTGGTTCTTAAAGTCACGGAAATACATTTTCCTAACCTCCAAAGTAGCTGAGGACTAAAGTCCATACCATTTCTTTCATAATAAGTAACCTCGGATATTAGCTTATATTTTACGATATTTAGCACCTGGGTGTGTTGTTCAAGCTTGCATTCCTGCAATTATTTCATTACAATAGTATTAATAATGCATCAATCATTTGGCCTGAGGCAACATTTCTGACACTTTATTTTGATAATAACCTCCCGACTAATCCTATGACATGATCCTTTCCACTTATAAGTACATAGCCTACTAGGACTTGTGACTTTGTCTCACCTGTCATGTCTTCAAAAGAGGTGTAGGGCTTCATGGAGAATCGTTTCCTGTAGGCGTTCATAGACTGGTAGCGCATCTGTCTGCTATTTTCAATGGATTTAATGGCCACATACATAATAGGCCCTGGAACATTTCGGCCACCAGCAACCTAAAAACATGAAGGGAAAGTCAGTAACTCTGCATTAAAGGAGCAGTGATGTTACAATCTGAATCGAAATGCTGCTCAAAAAGCTCTTACCCGTCCAGCAATCTGATTGGTGAATGACTCCACAAGGTTTCCGATGCCGTGCTCGGTCACTACGGAGGTGTTGAAGACAAACTGTTTATAGCTGTAGTCTTTCTCCTCAATTTGGAAGGTGTCAGGCATCAGGGGGTGCCAGTGGTACAGGGTGTTGAACTCAGACGCAATGCGGTTCTGGTACTGGAATTGCTGGCTGAACAGCAGCTCGGGGTCAAACTTGAGCTTGAAGTTATAGCCGCTCAGGTGCTGCACGTAGTCCTCGATCACAATCTTGATGGTCTCTCCTACAGGGCCAAATATGACATATTTTAAATAATGCAGATAAAAAAGATGTTTAGTGCACATATAACTAAGAATAAACATTAATTTAATTAGGAGCAGTTAAACCTGGGAATCAAAATACTTGCATTATTTGCATCTTTAATTTGTTTTAAAGGTCACATGTCATGGCCATTTCCAATTTTCCAAACTCACATTGGTTTCGCATACAGCATCTCTGTAAAGTATGTGTATTCAGCAGTATTCACTTTCTCCACTAAACGGCTCACTGCAGCTCCTCC